AAAAAAATAAAAAAAAAAAAAAAAAAAAAAAAAAATTTATAATAAAAACCAAATTACATTATTATATATTTAAAAGGTGAATCTTATTTATCTTTATATTAATTCAAAGATGTATTATAAATATTTTCGTAAAAGAAAAAAAAAAAAAATTTAATATGTTTTAATGCAACAACTTATTTTTGCATATATTAATAATATATAATTTTATTTAATATATAGCTATGTACCAACATCTTTTATAAAATTTTATGCTTTAAAAAACTTTTCTTTGATTAAATTTTTTAAATATTATGTTCTCATATATATAAGTTCATTAAATTAATTTAATGGAATTATAATTTTTTTTTTTTTTTTTTTTTTTTTTATTGATCATGAATTCAATTTTTTTTCATTAAACTCTTTTTTCTGTGTTAAAAAAAGATTTGATGAAGTAAAGCCTTTCTTATTTAAGATTTACTTGTTTTAATAAAATAAATTTTGTGTTTCAAAAAGCTTATAGAATGACAATCCTTTTTTTTTTTTTTTCTTTTTCTTTATCTTAAAAAATAGGTCCACAATTATGTGAAACGAATTAAAAATGGTTTGAAATTATAACATTTAAAGAATAAAAAAAACTCAAAGTTTTTTAAAAAATATATGTGTATGTATATATATTATATAATTAAAAATTTTATAAATATTAAATAAGAAGAAAAAGAAAAGTTGCATACTTTTTATGAATACAACGGATAACTTAAATTGATCATATATTCAAAATAAATAATAAGATGATAACGAACAAACACATAATTAAACGTGAAGATGAGGAGAAAAATATAAAGAGATATAGTAACAATGACATTTTAAATAATTATAACAAAAATATGGAACAAAATTCACTAAAAAATATAAATTTAAAAATTACAGATGAAGAAATAAAACTACATTTAAAAATTATAGAGTCATTATATCCTAATTTTAAATTACAAATTGGAAAATTAATTAATGGGAGTTATAACATTTTTACAAAGTTTTTAGTACAATCTCATTTAGATGATTTTAATTCTTTTATAAATGTATATATAAAAAATATGCCTGAATCAATACCTGCAATAGAATTTTCACCACAGATGAATAATTATTCTGTTTTAAATGCTTATAGAAATTCATCTAAATATGTTAAATTTTATGTTAGTGATATAGAAATAAGAAATCCATTAATTAAAAATGAAAAAGGAGAATTAAGAAATGATTATCCATATTTATGTAAATTATCCTCAAGAAATTATGAAGGAGAAATTTTTATAAAAATAAACAAGCAATATAATGATGAAATAACTAGTACTGTTGTTAGTGCTGGCCACATTCCTATTATGGTTTTATCAGATCTTTGTAATTTGAGTAATTTAAGTAAAAAAGAATTGATTAAAAAAGGAGAAGATGAAAATTTATTAGGTGGATTCTTTATTATATCAGGACATCTGAAAGTTATTAGATATGTAATTTATCCGAAGTATAACACATTACTTCTTAATGAGGAAAATAAAGTTCACATTAATTGTTTATTAAATGATAACACAGTTTTTATTAATTTTTTAACATATTCAAAATATAATTTTTACTCATATGGAGTTAAATTTCAAAATTCAGTAATTACTATACCCTTTCATATTTTAATAGTACTATTAAGTCCAATAAAAAAAAAGAATTACATATTTAATAAAATAAAAATAGGAATAAAAAATGAAAATGCAATTAAATATATAGAGCAATTTATCAATTCTATATTCATAAAAAATGACATTAATGAAAAAGAAATATTTGAAGAATGCAATTTAAGTTATCTAGGTAGAAATTCCTATTTTAGAAGAGGAATTTTTAGGATTTATCAAGTATCTCATGAAAAAAAAGGAAAATATATTTTGAAATATTGTGTACTTCCTCATATACAAAATAACACAGAAAAATTTGAAACATTGTGTTTGATGTTTAAAAAATTAGTTTTAAGTAAATTTAAATTAATTAATTGTGCAAATAAAGACTCTTTAGAATATCATGCTGTTACTACATGTAGTCATTTATTAGCAAATTTGTTGAAAGATCAAATAATGACTGCTCTAAGTCGTTTTCATTATCAATATTCTAGGTCTTTTTATAAATTATTAGAAAAAAAATATGATATATTTAAAATAAGTGTAAAACAAATATATTTAAGATATAAAGAAATGATATTAAATGAAATAAAAGAAGATCATTTAAATCAAATTCCTTTAGAAGATACTAGCAAAGATAAAAACCTGAATGATCAAGGTAATTATATATTTTTATTCTAATATGTTTTATTATATAACATCCATATACGTATACATTAAGAGAATATATATAGAGAGAAAGAGAGAGATAGAGAGAGGGAGAAAGTGTATTTTCATGAAAATAATATATTTATATAATTTTTTTTTTTTTTTAGGTGATTCGAATGTATTAAGATATAAAAATGAATCAAAGAGAAAATTGAGATCAATTTTCATTGATGAAAAAGAAAAATTATTTACAACTGTAGAAAGTTATATAGAAGAACTGTTTAATGATAATACTATGTTCATAGAAAAAGTTAAGGCTTTTTCAACGATAAGTTTAGCAATAATATACTTTTTTAAAACAGGAAATATTTCTTCAGATAATTTACATTATCAGCAAAAAAGTGGATGGGTTATCTCAGCTGATGAAATTAACAACTTAAGGTTATTAACAAATTTTAGAGCTATACATAGAGGATGCTTTTTTCAAGATGTTAAGGTATTAACACCTAGAAAATTATTAGGGGAATCATGGGGATTTATATGCCCTGTTCATACTCCTGACGGGTCTCCATGTGGTTTGCTAAATCATCTTTCTCAATTTTGTTATATTCATAATTTAGCTAGTAATGAATCACATAAATTGAATATAAAATTGTATCTAAAAAAAATTGGTATCAATGTAAATTTAGATGAGACAAGTGGTATACAAGTTGTTTTTGAAGACGAAAATATTCCCATTATTGTTGATTCAATTCCTATTACCTATATTGGCTATAAAGATTTTAAAAGAACTGTTTATAAATTAAAATATGCAAAAAATCATAATTTGTATAATTTAAAATCATATTTTGAAATAAATGCATATCTTAATGAATCATCTATGATGGATTGTATATTAATCAATACATTTCCAGGAAGAATAATTAGACCTTTATTTAATTTGAAAATGAAATCTATTGAATTCATTTCTCCTTCATATCAGCCATATGTATCTATTGCTATAAACTATGAAGATATTAAAAAGAATAATATAGCAAGAAAACTTTTAAAAAAAAGAGAAGAAATTGTTAATTCAAAAAAAAAAGATGAGCAGAAGTTCACATTAAAGCAACAGTATTTATTTCATATGAATGATAAAAGTGTTTCTTCAAAAATTAAAAATAAATTGACTAATTCATCTAATTACATGTTAAAAAAGTCAAATATTAATAAAAAAGTATTAAAAATGTTAACAGAAAATTGTTATACAAAGAATACAGATAGTTATATTAGTAGTTCTGAATATGAAACTAGCAGTAATTCTTGTATAGATTCAGAAGATAATAATATATCATCGACAACCTATATAGACAGTGATGAAAACATAAACGTTGATATATATGAGCAAATGCCTCAAAAATTTGAATATATGGAATTAAAGGAAACATCATTTTTATCTTTTTTAGCATCTTTAACACCCTTTTCTGATCATAATCAAAGCCCACGTAATATTTATCAATGTCAAATGTTAAAACAGACAATGGGAATACAAAGTTTAAATATGTTATATACATTCACAAATAAAATATACAGAATGATAACTCCTCAACTTCCTTTAGTTGTAACAAGAGATTATGAATTTTATGGAGTGGATAATTATCCTAGTGGAACAAATGCAGTAGTCGCAATCTTATCCTATACAGGTTATGATATGGAAGATGCTCTAATATTAAATAAGGGAAGTGTAGACAGAGGTATTTTTCAAACACATATATATAAAACAGAATTAATAGATTTACAAAAAGTTGCAGGGTCAGGTGATTTTGTATTTGGAAATAACATTAAATACACAAATAGTTACAAAAACAATAACAATAATTATGAACACATAGGTAAAATGTTAAATAATGATGGTTTACCTAGCATACAGCAAAAAATTAAAGAATCTAGCCCCTTATATTCATATATTAATAAAAAAAATGAATTAACAACATATGAAAGTTTTAAAAGGCATGGAGAATATTATGTAGACTTTGTAAGTCTTGCAAAGAATAATTCTAATCAAATTGCAATTGTCAAATTACGATCAACGAGAAAACCTCAAGTAGGAGATAAATTTGCATCAAGACATGGTCAAAAAGGAGTTGTTTCAATGTTATTTCCTCATGAAGATATGCCTTTTTCAGAAAGTGGAATAGTTCCTGATGTCATTTTCAATCCTCATGGTATTCCTTCACGTATGACTATTGGAATGCTTATAGAAAGTATCTGTGGAAAAGCTGCTTCTGTATACGGTAAAAGAATTGATGCTACACCATTTAGAAAATATACCAAACAGAAGAGCTTTAATAATCAATGGATTGATAATTGTGGTATTAAGGGATATTTACAGGAAAGAAATGAAAAGAAAAATATATTTACAGAAAAAGAAGGATATGAAAACATCTATACTATTCAAGATAACCATAAAAAGGAAAAAAAAATTTCCTTCCATACAACATCAAATGAGAATCAAAATAATTCAGATAACCTCAATTATCAACCAAACAAAAAAAATAAAAAAAATTCTGCTATAACATATGATGATAAAATTGATTATTTTGCAAAATTGTTATTAAATAGGGGATATGATTATTATGGAACGGAATTATTATACAGTGGTATTTATGGAGTTCCATTACAAGCACATATATTTATTGGTGTAATTTATTATCAAAGATTAAGACATATGGCTTATGATAAAGCTCAAGTAAGGAGATTAGGACCTGTTTGTAATTTAACACATCAACCATTAAAAGGTAAAAGAAAACATGGAGGAATAAGATTAGGAGAAATGGAAAGGGATGGGATTATATCTCATGGTTGTAGTTTTGTTATTAATGAAAGATTTTTAATGAGCTCAGATGGACATGAATGTTTTGTTTGTCCTAAATGTGGATTAATATTATCACCTATTTTACAATTTAATGTAAGTGGGAAAATAATGAAAGGTAGATCTATTGGAGGAAAAAATAAAATGGCTGTTTGTAAATCATGTAATGTATCTTGTAAAATTATTTATATTCCATATGTTATACGTTATTTATTAAATGAATTAATATGCTTAAATGTTACTATAAGATTAAATATAAAATCAGTTGAAGATATGTTTAATTTGAAGTAATAAAAAAAAAAATTATAAGTATTAAAATGTAAATAAAATTTAGATGACATATAATGCAGAAAATAAAGTAATAATATAGCACTGTTCTTCTAAAGTACTTTTGAAAATAATTTGTAAAACATAAAAAGAAATAACATTATTTTAATATAATCAAAGTTAAATTAGAAAAAATATGTAAAGATTTTTTGCTACAATAAAAATACTATTAAAATATAATTTATATCATTTTTTAAGTATAATGTTTTATTACTAATAAAAAAAAAAAAAATTAATTTATAATTTTATTTGTTAATAACATATATAAAAATTACAAAAAAAAAAAATTTCTTAAAATATTTTAATTTTTTTTCTTTTTTTTAAATTTTACAAATCTTTAGACTACTAATATTTGAAAATTAAAAAATATAATTAATATTTCTATATTTATTTTGTAGTATAAATAGTTATGTAGAAATTCAATTTGAAAAATTGTTTTATAGAAAAAAATAAAGTTCAAAATAGTAATGCAAAGAAACCTTTTATTATTAAAGAAAAAAAGTAATAATTTTGTCTTTATTGGTGTAATAGGAATAAAATAAAAATTTGTGAATTTACTTAAACTATATGTAAAATTAACATAATATATTTTAAAGATAAACTTTTGAAAGTTATTTATTTTATTTTTTTTTTTTAAATTATTATATAAAAAAGTTGTATTTTTGGTTATATGAGAAAAAAAAAAAAAAAATACCAAATTTATTCTTAATAAAAAAAAACTTATAGTAAAAATTGTATATATGTATGTCACTATATTTAGCTTTTTGTTTTTGGTTTATATATTATTTCATTTTCCTATAGTAAATGTGTTACAAATAAAATATTAATGTGTAGATTAATTTTATTGTTCAATGAGAGTTAAAAAAATTACATATATAATAATTGAAATATCATTTCTTTCCTTTCTTAAAAGATATGCTTATAAAATAAAAGTAATATAAAGATATAAATTTGAAAAAAAAAAAATGTATTACAACAAAAATATGAATACACAGATTTATACATGTGCACACACATAAACAAATACTAAAATATATACTCATAAATTTATATTTTGTATTTCTTAATAAGCATGCATATTTTTATTCTTTTATTTATTTTTTTTTTTTTTGATAATTTACATAAAATTAACATCATATATAAATACAATTAATTTAAAGGTATGAGAAATGTGGTTTTTTTTTTTTTTTTTTTTTTTATTTTTATATTAAATATTTTTCATAATGAATATTAAAATGAAAATCTTTATTATAGTTAAAATTTTATTCCTTTTTTCATTTTATTTTTTTTCACCCTAAAACTGTTCGAATTTAAATAATGTTTAATGATTTCTAAGAACATTTTTTACATCATACTAATATATTTTTAACTTTTTTTTTTTTTTTTATAGAAGAAAATTTAAAAAAATTTTTTTTTGATAATTTGTGCAAATTAAAAATGTTAATATGAGATATCTTGTTTTTAATTTTTTATTTAAAACATAAGGTTATTAAAATTATTTTATTAATATATATTTATTTTTACTATAGTTCTTTATTTTTTTTATATATAAATTTTTGTAGAATAAAGTATTAAATATTACTTTTGAGAATCCTTTTTAGAATATTATAATTAATATATTAAAAATATACATATTAATAAAAAATTATGTCATACATTAATATTTAATTAATGTTCCGTTAGTTTCTATAAATTTTAGGAATATTACTGTGGAAATAAAGAAAAATGTGTACCATTTAATTTTTTTTTTTTTTTTTTTTTTTTTTACACATGCAAAATATATATACAATTATTAAATAAACACATATATATAATGAAAATACATTTTTTTTTAATATGAATCTTTAATAGAAAAGATAATAAGAAAAAAAAAAAAAGGAAAATCTATAAATTAAAGGAATGAATATTTACATATATCTAATGACATATATTTAAATTTCCCTCAATAGTTTTATTTCTAAAAGATAATGATTTTATTTATCCACTTTAAGAATTAGCTTATTCCTTAGTTTTTTATTATTTTAATATACTTTTTTATTTTTTATATTTTATTTTTCATATTATTATTATGTTTTAATTTTATTTATATATCTATTATTTTTATTCTATTTTATTCATATTTTTACTATTGTCAAAAAAAAAAAAATTTTAAGGAAATGAAAAAGATAATGTAAAACATTACTAAAAAAAAAAAAAAAAAAAAAAAAAAAAAAAAAAAAAAAAAAAAAAAAAAAAAAAAAAAAAACAATAAAGGAATAATGATACCGCTAAATATACATCTAAAAGTAAAAATAAAATTTATATATATATCGATATTTTTTTATTTTTTTTTATATATTTATATATTTTAAAAAAAATATAATATATTATGTATATATTATCATTATTATTGAAGCAAATGTTTAAAGATTAAAAAAAAAAAAAAAAGATGGACTTGATATTATTTTTTTTTAATAATTCTAAAAATAATATTTTAGTAGCATTTCTATTTTATTTATTTTTGTAGTTTCATATAATGCTTCAAAAATTTATATATACTTGAGTGTCAAAAATATTAAAAAAATATATACTTTATATATAAATTTATATATAGTTTTATAGAATAAAAAAAAGAGAAGACAAAAAGTTAGATATAAAAAAATTAATACTTGTAAAGGAAGTTTTAAATACAAACATAACATTTACATATTATTAAATGGCTATAAAAAATTTATAATATAAAAATAAGAGAAGATAATTAAAACTATATGTTTAGAAATAAATAATATTTATTATATTTACGAATGGTATTTTATATTCTTTGATATCTTAAAATATCAATAAGAGATAATTTTACACGAGGCATAAATGCATAATTAGTTTTGCATATAAATTTGTATTTATATGTTCTGTTTTTATTCGTTCAAGTATTTCATTATTTATTTATTTATTTTTTTTTTTTTTTTTTGATTTAAAATTATTTGTAATATCTTTTAATTATCCCATTTTCAATTAGAAACAATATAAAAAAAAAAAGAATAAAAAGTAATAATATCTATATATGTATTTTCAATGTTAGCTTATATTATGCATATTCATATATATACTGTTTTATTAGAAGTATAAGAATATTTATAAATATAGAAATAATAACATAATCAGATTTAATATATAACAAAGTATAATACATATAAATATATATAACTATAAGTAATATTAGAAAAAAGAATTAAAATAATTATAAATATAGAAATAATAATTAAAGGACATCTAATACAAATATATATCTTTTTTTTTTTTTTTTTTTTTTTTTACATATAAATCTTATAATATATAAGAATGTAATTATATATGTATTGTTTTGTGATACTAATGGTAAATTATTGATTATTTTTTAATGATATTAAATTTTTACATGATTCTAGTTAAGTCTTATTCTTTGATTTTTGTATAAAAAATTATTTATCTTGATTTATTGAAAAAATTATTTTTTTAAGAATTAATATATTCTAATACAAAGTATATTAATATTTTTTTTTTTTTTTTATATATGATATATTTATGAATTTTATTAATTGTTATTAATTTTATATATTAATGTCATTTATTATATTATTTACATCTATTAAAAAAAAAAAAGAAAAATAAAGAGTAAATAAACAAATGTATATATGTAAAAAATAAAAAATTAAAATAAATATGGCACCTATATATTAATATAAATTGTTCTTACCTTTTATTATTATTATAAATCTTCTATTTGTTATTTATTAAAGAAATAGAAAAATGATACAGTATTCTATTAATTTTATAAGTTCCAATTTATTATTAATAATGTAGTATTTTTATCGTAGTAATTTTATTTTATTTTTTTATTTTTTTTTACATACCTCCTGTTTCTAAATAATTTTTATATATAACAAAAGATTGTTATTCTAAACATATAAAAATATCTTTTGTTATTAAATATATATAAATATATGTATGTTTTTTTAATTATTATTTAATACTATTATTATTATTCTTATTATTATTTTTATTCTTATTATTCTTATTCTTATTATTCTTATTCTTATTATTATTATCCTTATTATTCTTATTATTCTTATTATTCTTATTATTATTATCCTTATTATTCTTATTCTTATTATTCTTATTCTTATTATTATTATCCTTATTCTTATTATTATTCTTATTATTCTTCTTATTATTATTATTATTCTTATTCTTCTTCTTCTTCTTCTTGTTATTATTATAGTTTTTTATTCATTTATCTATATATTATTTATTAAGTTATTAAATATAATAAAAGTGTATAGGAATAACAGTAATATTTCTAAATGTGTAAAAATATATAAATTATAAAAAATATATATTTATCTGCATATACATGTTCTAGTATATATATAGGCATATTTATACAAGCAAATTGATTATATTTAGTTAAGAAAAATAAAAAAAGTAAAATGATTGAAGTAAATTCAAATGAGAAAAATGATTTGAATAACATATTAAATGGTATAAATGGAAATTTAAATGAAAAAGAAAAAAATGAAAATAGTAATTCTTCAACAGAAATAGAAAATATAGCATGTAAAGAAGAAACTAATTTTGAATTAATAAAATCTAATAAATTAAATTCAGATAATAAAGAACATGTTAACGAGAAAAATTTATACAAAAATGAAAATTCAAATTATTGTTTAAATGAAAAAAAAAAAAAAAAAATAAATAAAAAAAAAATAGATGGAGATAAAAAAGAAGTTAAAGATGACATTATAGATATTAAAAAGGAGGAAATAACTAAGAAGGATCAAAATTTAGAACGTGAAGATAAACAAATAGCAGAACATTTCCAATTAACAGAGATGAAAAAAAATAAAAAAAAAAAATTTTTTTTTGGTGAATATAATATCAATGGAATAACAAGCGAAAATTATAAACCACATAACTTAAATCATAACAATTCTAATATTAGTGACATCAATAACTTAGACAAAATTAAAAATAAGAAATATATAAAAAACCAAGTAACTAATTGTGTAACTGATATGAATGAATGTATTACAAAACAAGAAAAAAATAATGAATTTATTAAACATAGAGATAAAAAAGAGGAAAAAAAAATGAATAAAGATTTTAAAGTTTTTAAAAATCAAAACAAAGAAAAAAACTTTTTAATAAATGATAAAAATTTATATTACAACCAAAGATATGGTAATTGTGTGTATAACGATAAAAAGAAAGAAGGTAATAATATTTTGTGTATAAAAAAGCCATATGTTGATCAAAATTTTTTTAATCAAAGAATTAATAGAAATAATATTTACAATTTTAAATATTATCCTTATGAAAAAAATTATTTAGATAATAATATAATAAGAGATCTATATAGTTTTAATAATGCGTATTCATATAATTGCAATGACTATTATTATTTAAATCCATCACAAATTCACAACACAATTAATAATAATAGTATAAATCATTATGAGCAGCAGAAATCATACAATTCTAAACATTCTACTTTACCACTTTCACATATAGCACAGAATCAGATTAATAATATTCATTTAACTAATCTAAATCCAAAACATTTAACTTTGAACCCAATAAATAACACCTTTAACAAAGAAAGTTCTATAAAAAATATAGAATATCAGCAAGATTTTATATATACGAAGGTGAAGGAAAAAATGCATGATCAATATTATAGAATAAAATTATGCCCATTTTTAAAAAAAGGATTATGTCAAAAAGGAGATAATTGTTCTTATGCACATTCAACTGATAAATTAAGAAATTCTATTAATTTAACAAAAACGAAAATTTGTGAATTATGGTTAAAAAATGAATGTGAAAATGAAAATTGTGTTTATGCTCATGGAGAATTAGAATTAAGAGCAACACCTGATTATTTTAAAACAAAATTATGTAAATATTTTGATAAAGAAGGAAAATGTCCATCAGGAGATAAATGCAGGCATGCACATGGTCAGGAAGAATTAAGAAAAAGAAATTACAGGAGGACAGAATTAGAAAAATATGCATTGAAAAATAAATTAAATGTAAAATTTTTATATAATGAAATAAAAAATAAAAAAGATATTTCTGAATATATTTCAAATAAATTTAACAACCAGAATGAAAACAAAAATGGTTTATTCAGTTCTAATGATAACATGGAATATAAAAGAAATAATGAAAAAAAAGAAGTAATTTCAAACGAGGAATTACAAAATACAAATAAGGATTATAATACAAATAATGAAAAAAGAGAAGTAATTTCAAACGAGGAATTACAAATTACAAATAAGGATTATAATACAAATAATGAAAAAAAAGAAGTAATTTCCAATGAAGAATTAAAAGTTACAAACAAGGATTATTTAAATGAAACAGAAAATTTTAATTTATCTCATGATTTCAACTCTCAGGAAAAAGAAAATAACTCTGATAGTTTTAATGAAATAAATAATCAAATTGTAAAAGAGAAAAAAATTAATGAAAGTGATTATAATATTAATAAATCTAGTTATAGTAATGAACAAAATAACAAAAATGATGATAGTATTTCAAATATAAAAGAGGAAAAAGAAAAAAGATGTGAGATGGATGAAAAGAATTTTCATACTGTCAGTCATGATCCTAATAATGTAGTTAAGGATACGAATAAAAGGAGAATGAAAAAGGAAAAAGACAAAAACGAAATTGTGATAAAAAAAAAAAAACCAGAGAAAATTATAAAATATATAGAAGAAAAAAATAACAGAGAAACTTTAGATGAAAAAAAAGAATTAAGTGAACATAATGAGGAAAACACAGTAGAAGTGTGTACAAAAGATGATGTTTTAAATAAAGTAAATAAGAAAAATGAAAATAATTATGAACACAAAACGAAATTGATAGAAAATGAATGTGAAAAAATATTAACAACAGAAGAAAATACTGACTGTAAGGATGTAAAAAAGGAAGAGAATGAAAATATTGATAATATTTGCAAAAAAAAAAAAGAAAAACCATGTGATAAAGAAACTGTAGATTTTGGAGAAAAAGATAATGAAATAGAAGCTAATCAAAAAGAAGAAAAAAAAAAAAAAAGTTACAATTTCATGATTAAAAAAAAATTAAGAAAATATGAAAATGATGTTAAAACTAATGATATTAACAAAAATGAAAATACGTATACAAAATTAATGAAAGAAGTAGATGACAAATATTTGGAGAAAGAATATAACAGGGAAAAAAATAATAATTCTCATTTAAATAATTATACAAAGAAAAATGAGAAATGTACGAAAATTAAAAATTTAAATGGAAATAAAAGTTTTGAAAATGATAATAATTCATTAACGAAAAACAAATATAGAAAAGAGAATAATATAACTAAAATGAATTCGATAAATAATTCATCTAATTGTACAACTACTACTACATCTAGTAATTATAATTCTAAAATATTTAATTATAAAAATAAAAAACAAAATATAAACAAATTTTTAAAAAATTATAAGAATTCTGATAAAAACAACTCAAAACTTAAAGAAACAAATGATAAGAATAATTATATTATGAATACTGTAGCAAAAAATAACACTAAGCAGAATTTAAATATTAACAATAATTTGAAAATTAAAGAAGAAAAAAAAAATTCCGCTATAATTCAAAATAATTTAAATTATAAATATTTCAATAAATCATTTAATAATATGCATTTAATTACTCATCATAATTCACCAAATTATAATTTTGAAGATTCTTCAAAGTTTTTTTTTAACAATTACAATAATACAAACCCACTTTATATCCATAATCAAATAGCAAGACTAAATAATTGTAATAACTTTTTTCATAATAACACTCTTAGATCAAATTTAAATTATGAAAAAAAATCAACTAATATAAATAATGATATGATGGTAAATCATGGATTATTTCCTATTAACACTTTGATAAATAGTGTTAATTATTATAATTATAATGTTAATAATATATATTCAAATGGAAATGATTATTATAATTATTTAAATTTTGAAATGAATAACATAAATATATCTAATCAAACACCAAATGTTAATAATCATCATTCGAATTTCCCATTAAATTCACCAAATTCAAATTATCAACAAATTTTTAATATAATGCCATCAAATAACTTGTTACATACAAACATTATATCTCATAAATCTATGCAGTCACAACTTTATGCAAATCCTTGTCAAAAAAAATTTTTTGATAATCAAAATGTAAATGAATCAAATGTTTATAATGTAAATCAATATCTTAATATGACTAAGTATAATGGGAATGAACAAAGTACTATTTCTACAAATATTGTAGAAAATAATAATAGTAATAATAAAAATAATAATAATTTTTTTTTAACAGGTAATTTCAATAATGCACTGTTAATAAATCAGAGAGATTCACAATCAAGAATACATACATTTAATAATATTAGATTAAATATATCAAATAATTTATGCAATAATAATAATAATAATAATATGAATGTATTACATAATTCTAACATTAATGTCGATAATTCTAATCAAAAGGAAATGTTAATCATTGAGAACAATGGGCAAGATATAAAGAAACAAAATCCGATACTACAATATACATCAAATAAAAATTATGATAGAAAAATGAATAACACAAATTGTAAAAATTTTAATAGTATTCATAATAATGTATCAAATAATATCAACAAATATAATAATAAAAGTAATAATAATAGTAATCACAATATTACTTATCAAAACAAAACATCTTTTATAGATACAATGAAAACATTTTCACCAGAAGAAGTACAAGCAGCTGTTTTGAATAACCTTGCGGAATTTCAAGATTAAAAAAAAAATATATTAAAATTCAACTAATTTTAATGTGAAGATTTAAAGAAAAAAAAATATATATATATATATATTAAAATTAAAATAATTTTAATATTTATATATTCTTAAAAATATTTAAACTAAAATAAGTAAAGCATTTAAATATTTACTATTGAAAAAAAAAAAAAAAAAAAAGTAAAAATTCGAATAATAAAAAAACAAAAAAAAAAGTTATAATTTTAATATTAGTATTAGTTGATAATAAAGAATGATTATTTAAAAATATACACATCTCTATAAAATTTTTGTAAAAGATTATTTCTAAATTTAATTTTTTTTTTTTACTTTTTTATTTTGTTTATTTTTTTTTTCGAAAATTTTATTTAAATTATTCATGATTTATATAAAAAATTTTTGTTTGATAAAAACTTTTTTTTTTTTTTTTTTTTTTCCATAATAAGCTTAAAACTGGATTTACATGAAAAACTATTTTTTCCCTTTATTTCATAAATTTATACAATTTATATTATTATAAATATATATAAATTTGAATTGTCTTTTTTTTTTTTTTTTTACATAATAATTATAATTATATAAATAAGTTATAATATGTCTAAAAGGTAAAATAAAATAGTAAAATAAATAGATAAAAATATATATTTATTTTGTTTTTGAACTTTTATCAATATCTATAAATTTCTTAATTTAAAATAAAATTTATATTATATAAATTCAACATTTATAAACACTTTTGAAAAAAAAGTATATATAAGCAATTTCAAATTTTCTTTTTTATGTATATTTAAAGGTATTCTAATTTTTGTAAAATTATAGAAATTTTCAGAAATCATAAATATTAATATACTATATCTGTTTATATGTATATATTAATTTATATTAATAATAAAATTTAAAATTCATCATCATGTTATTTTTCCTTCTGTAATTGTAACTGTAATATTTTCATCAAATAAAAATGAATTTTAAAATTTAAACAATTTCGGCAAACTTTTAATGCAAAAAAAAAAAAAAAAGTAAATTAAAAAGAGTGAATTAAATAACTTGTATTTTTACTATTAATTTTATTTTTATTTTTATTTGTTTCTTATTATTTCATTGAAAAATATAAGTCATCAAAATTAAAATGTTAAAGTTACAAAAAAAAAAAAAAAAAGAGAAAAATAAAAATGTATAAAAAGTTAATTATAATAAAAATTAATACCTTGTATTTGTTAAAAAAAACCAAATCAAAAAAATAGTGCAAAGTATATATATATATTATTGTAACAAATTTTAAAAATTGTTTAACATATATATGTGTGTATATATATACAAACAAAAAATACTAGTTTTAAATGGTTCAAAAATATTGTAACAAAAAAATAATTTAATTCAAATTACAAACTTCTGATATTTTTAAGATTGGAATATTTAAAAATAAATATATTTATAATTATCTTTGTTAATCTTTCTTTAATATTTTTTTGATTGCTTTATTTAAATAATAATATTTTATATCTTCTTCACTATTTAATTTACTTATTTCTAAATGATTACAGTTCTTTATAATTGCAAAAATTTTAGAATAATATAAATATGCAAAAATGCTGGGTACTATCATTCTTTGCAAACCTAAAGAATAAAAAAAATGAAATAATATAAAAAAAAAAAAAAAAATTGCAATTAAATTAAGCATATAATATCAACCTATAATTTTATATTATATATTTATTGGTAATTATAAAGGAATGTAAAAAAAAAAATATTCAAAAAATTAAAAATATAAATTTTATAAAAAAAAATTGTTAAAAATAACCATATATTTTTAATCATTTTGAAGATAGAATAATATAAAAAAATAAAAAATAAAAAAAATTTTTTTTTTCATAAATGATGTATATATATATGTATAATTTTATTTTACCTATAAATGGTAAGGGAGTTTTCTCTGATTCTGAAAAGGAATAAACTTTGATGCCTTTATTTTTGATTCTTTCTCTAAAACAGTGTTGCAAATAACTTAATGTAGAATCATAATCATTAAGTTCGTAGACATATGGAGATAAAAATGTTTTAAATAAAAGTGCAGTTGAAGATAAGGGAGAACCGAAATGAGGAGATGCATAAAAAAAAATGAATTTTGTTTTATTTAAAATATCATCATTTTTTAAAAGTACATATTGTGTTAGTAGTCCACCCATCGAATGAGCAATAAATATTATATCATTATTTTTTCCTAAATTTATATTTTTTAATTTTTTTAAAAGAAAATTAGATAATTCTTCTAAATTCATCCTGTCTGTATAGAAATATTTTTTATTATTATAGTCATCATCATTTTTATTAAAAAAATAGTTTAATATATTTATATAGGAATACACGTTTTTGGTTTCTTTTTTTTTGATAATATTAACAGAATTACTTTTTTTTTTTTTTTTCTTTTTTTTTAAATATGTTTTAGTATAAAAGGTACTATCTGGATATAGTGGTGAATAATAATTAAGTATGTATATATTTGAATTTTTTTTATGAGGATATAATAAATATATAGGCCATAGTTGATATGATAATAAATCACTATAAAGATCAAGATCATTTTTCAATTTTTGATCATGTAAAAATACAGACTTAAAAACATTTTTACTTATGATTCTAGTATTAGTAAACATTGGTAATATATTTTGATTATGTTTGTAATTTAACATTAATATATTTATTACATTTTCATTAATTATAAATTGAAATTTATTTTTTAGTTTTAAACATTGTCTTATCTTTTTTATCGATTCATCAAAAATCATTACATTTTCTCTTTCTTTTAAATTATTCATATCATTGTTTTTTACAGTGAGACGTTCATCTTTTTTTTTTAATTCTACTTTAGATTCTTCTATTTTTTCTTTTAATGAATTATTAAATGTTTTATCTGGGTTTTCGTTTTCTTTTTTTATGGTTTCAATAAAATTTATTTTATTTTTACTATTAATTTCATTCAATTTTATATTATTATTATTATATGTACGATTTTTTTTATTTACTTTTTTTTTTTTTAATTTTTTATTTTTATTATAAAAATAATATGTTGATCCGTTATCATATAAGTTAGAAAATCTCCATGTACGTAAAGCACTTCCGCGTAAACCATGAACAAAAACTATGTCAACCTTTTTTTTTTTTTTTTTCTTTCTTTCCTTTTTTGTACATTTTTTATTTTCTTTCTTTTTAGTATTTTTAACCCATATATTATTTTTATATATATTATATTTTTTCGAGTAAGTATATATAGGCAAAAATCTGTCATGTAAATTATAAAAATAATGATTATATTTACTAATCATATACATATGCTCATCTAATAGTATTTTTTTTTTTTTGGTTTTTGTCTGTTTATATAATGTATTTCTATTACTTATTTTTTTTTCTAAAATTTCTTCTTTTAACAATTTATCTACACCTTCTGAAAATGATTCAAATGTTTTATTATTTTTTCTTTTTTTTTTTTTGTTCTTGCATAATTTTTTTATTCCTTTATCTCCTTTATTTAAATTTTTCAACAAAATACTTTTAATTTTTTTAAATTTTTTCTTCCTTTCTTTTATTTCATGCAAAAAGTACTCATAATGAGATTTTATATTTGTATAGGCTCTTATGCTATCAAAATATAAAGAGCTTGGAATTAATTCCTTTTTTAAATATACCAAAGAATGAAAGTTAATATTATCATTAAAAAAAAAAAATTCAGCACTAATGAAATAAGTAAAATTAAATGATATACTTATTACATTTTGAAGTAAATTCTTATACATAAAATACAACAGAGAAAATGAGTTAAAACATAAATCCTTTACAGAAAAGCAATTAGCAAAAATTTTAATAATAATTGCTAATTCATTATAAATGTTGTTATTTTGTCTTTTTTTAATTTGCGATTTTTTTTGAATTTCTGAATTAAAATTATTTTCTTCTTCTAATTTATTGAATGAAGGTAAATTTAGAGAGGGCAAATATAAAGAAGTAATACTCATTTTTTCATTCTCCTTTTCTATTTCATTTTTCTCATTTTCATTTTTATTGTTATCTTTTCCTTCTTTTTCTGTAGTACTACTAAATGAGTTATCCGTGGATGGTATATAATCCAAATCGTAATGAAAAAACTTTCTTTTAAAATTATTATTAGAATACATATTTATAAGAAATAATAAATCTAAATTTAATGAGTTTAAATTATTTATAAATATATTTCTTAAAATTATGTGAAGACCTGTATTTATATAAACAGAAGAATTTTGAATAATATTTAATAACTCATTTATTTTTTTTAATAAATTTTCTAAATTTAAATTGTTCTTATTTTTTAATTTGTTTTCTATGTTAATTATATTAAATAGTACATTTTCTTCATTATTCAAATTTTTTCTTTCTTTATATTTCTTTTTTTCATTAGGAGAAATACTAGAATCTCTTGCATTAGTGACATATTTTAACTTATATTTCTTTTCAATATAATTTATTATTTCACTCAAACAATTTTCAATTATGTTGCTTTTGTTATTAAAATACATTTTCTCATTTAAAGTTATATAGTCTAATACTTGATATACTAATTCTGCTAATATTATTTTGTTTTCTCCTTTTTTTTTTTTATTATTTATATTTTTTAATAAAATACTTTTACGTAATTTATTCCTTTTATTTTTTTTTTTATTTGATAAATCATTCCTTTTTTTTAGAGTATTAATTTTTTTATTTTTTTTCATTTTTTCATAAATAAAATTCTCATTATTTTTAATAATGTTACTGTTAAGTTTAAATAATATATTTAAAGAAAATTCCAAGTAGTTATTTAAAGAATCATTTATTATCTCAGATTTATTATTTACAGAATATTCATATAAACTCATTTGAAAAATTTTCAATTTGCTTAAGTCCATTATAAAATGTACATTAGAAATATCATTAAATTTGAAAAATATATTAAAATTTTCTTTTAAACAATTAAAATTAATCATGTAATTTGTTTTTAAAAAGAAAATATGTTTCCTCTTTTTAAGATAATTATCTAAAATACTAAAATTATTATAATCGTTAATTGTATACGTTCCATATCTATTTATGTTATAAAAATCATTTTTTAAATGATCATATTTTTTTTGAACTAAAGATAATTCATTTATATAGTTATATTTATACTTATATATGAATCTACTCGGTAATAAAATAATATTTTTTGTATTATTATAAACATAAATGTAATAATAAAGTAACAAAAGATAAAAGTAAAAATTGTAATTTCCTTTTAAATGTTTATGCCGTACTTCTTTTTTTTTATTAAAAATATAATTCAATTTCATTAAAAATATTAAAGCAAAAGTGTCGTCAAGTATTTCACTTTGAGCTTTATTAATGCATATATATCTTAGAAGAAAACAACTCACTTTTAAAATTTTGGTATTTTTATCATTAATCAAAGAAGAATTAATATCACATTTTAAAAATTCTTGACTTAAAATTAGTAATAAACTGTACACATCACTATTTTTTAAAAATCTGATGCTATTTTTATTTTTAATATATTCATAAATGAAATTTAATGAAAAATCACTTAAAAATTCTTTATCCTTATATGTATTAATAATGTCATTTATTAAAAGTTTAATTTTTGAATATTTTTTTTTCTTCAATAAATATAAAAAAGCATCTTGTCTCTTAGCATTGTAGTAATATAAAATAGTTTTTTTTTTATTTATAGAATCCTGAATATTTAATAATAATGGAAAACTAATTACCTTCTTATCTTTTTTTTTTTTTTTTTCTAATTCTCTTACATTTTTTTTAGAATTTTCCAGGTTGTTACATGCTAATAAATTAACAGAGGCAATACTTATTTTATCCAATAATCTATCAAACATTTTTATTATTCAGTTTTCATACTTTTTTTTTTTTTTTAGAATTTTTTTGATACTATTTTATTTTTAGCATTTCATAGTTATAAATCTATATTAATATATATGCTTTAAAAAAAAAAAAAAAAAAAAATTTTCAAAAGTGAAATAAAAAATATATAAAAATAAAATGATTTAGGATTAGAAAATGTATTTAAAAAAATCTATAAACAAAATTTTGCACTATTTAAATTGAAGAACACACAAATTCTTATGAATATCTTTCATAATTTCCTAAATATGACTTAAATGTAATAAAATACAATAAAAAAGAAAAAAAAAAAAAAATTAACGATAACATTAAATTAAACATTATTTCAGATCATAAAAAATTTAACATAAAAATTATAAAATAAAACTATTCATTTTTATGATTTCATAATTTATAATCTTTATGTAAAACGGTAAAATATAAAATTAGTTTTATTAAAAAAAAATAAATTAATTAATAAATGCATAAAAAAAAAAAAAATAAATTAAAAAAATTAAATAAATACTTTCAAATTATTTTAAGAGAAAAGCTATTTTGCGAATTAAAGCATTCTTATAATAATTTTAAAGTAATTTGTTCTTATTTTAAAATGTTTTTTCAATTTTCAATTAAGATACATAATTAGGATACGTTTATATATGCACAATTTTTTTTTCATTTATTTTAAAATATTATATTATTTTTATCACCTAATTATTACAAATTTCCAATGTTTTTTTTCTTATTTATAATAAGGATATAACTAGTTACTCTTATTTATTTTTATTTATAGAAAAAAATGTTTAAAAATAAAAAAAAAAAAAAAATTTAAAACATTATTGTAAAAATATTTAATTAAAATATTTTAATATTAATATAGTGAGATAAAAAAAAAAAAAAAAATTATTATAATATGTTTCTTTTATAAATTAAAACAAAATTGTACATTTAAAAAATGATATATTGAAAAAAATACTATACTGCACAGAAAGTAAAGAAATAACAAACTTTAAAAAAATATAGTTATTTTTTAATTTTTTTTTTTTTTTTATTTTTGAAATTTATTAAAAATTATTTGATTTTTCTTATTGTAACGATGAAAATGTTCATTTTTTTTTATACATTTTTGTAAAATATATTGTTTTAAATAGAAAAAATAATAAAACAATGTTATTATAAAAATACTTTTTTTTACAATATGCATACAATTAAATGCAATATTTTTCTCTATTTTTATTCTATTCATTTAATTAGAATAAATAGTTTTCTTTTTTTTTTTTCCATCAATAATAATTAAATCGATAAATTAAATATGTCTTCATTAAAAAATTTTCTTTGTGAAAAATTTTTATGTATATTAATATGAGTATTTAAATATCATCTAAATTTTTTGACAGTTAGATTAACACAACAATTCCTAAAATGTTTAAATAGTTATTTTTTTTTTTTTTAATCATCACTTTTAAGAGAAACTTTAAATATTTTTTGTAAAAATATCAACATATGATAAACAAGTTAAAAAAAAACATTTAAGAAAATTCCTTATAAACTTAATAGTATAGTTTTTGTAAATGTATGATACTTCAAAATAAATATCAATCTACTTATTATTTTTACAGTTTAATTATTATATATGGCTATAAAATTAATAATAAAAAAAGATTAATATAAAAAATGTGAATAAATGTAATCCATATTACAAATGAATTATATCTAATAATATAAGGAATGTGTAAATATTTATTAAAAATGACTATAATTAATATTAATATTTTTTTTTTTTTTTCTAATCTATTTATTTTGTTATTTTAATTTTAACTAATCTTAATTTTTTTTTTTTGGTATAATAGGAAATTCATTTAAATTTACAAATATTAAATATACTAAATGAAAATATAAAATGATCAATTACTAATATAAAAAAAAAGAAATTATATACTTTAAAATCTAATAAGGTTTTTTAACAATTTATAAAATTAAAAAAAATTTTTAAAAACAAAATATTTTCATTCTAGTTTTAATTGTATCGCAATATATAGATTTATATGAAAGATTTAAGTTGAATTAAAAATAAAAAAAAAAAAAAAAAAAAAAAAAATTTATCATTCTTCTATAAGCATATAAATTTAACGTATTAATAAAATATTTTTATTATGTATTCTATTTTTCACTCATCTTTATTGTTACAAAATAGAAAAAAAAAAAAAAAATAAAATATTCTTCCGTTTTTTATTAAAAAACATGAATCTATAAAATTTTTTATCCATTTAAAATTATAACTTGATATATTAAAAAAAAAAAATAAAATAAAATAAAATAAAATAACACACGTAATTATTTTTAATTCTTTTTAAAACAAAATGTATCTTCAATAAAAAAATTATATTGTGAATTTTTTGTTTATTTTTTCAATTTTAAATTAATATTATAATATATTTAGATATATCAAATGTTACAAGACTTTTTTTTGTTCTTAAAAAAAAAAAAATATTCCTTTATACATTTTATAATTTGTTTTCTTTTATATAATTTATTATATATTTTTACCATTCAAATATTTTTTTTTTTTTTTTTTTTTTTTTTTTTTGTTCTATGTTTATTATTATCTTATTAAAATTAAAAAAAAATAAATGATTAAAAGTTAGTGCTACATAATATTATATATAAATATTCTTATAAAATTTCTAAATAAGTTTTATATACACGTTTTATGTTATTTTTTCTGTAAGGAAATAATTTTATTAATTGATTTATTAATAAAACTATTCTCAAAGGAAGTGTAAAAAGTTTTAAATATCTACTAATATATTTTCTTATATTCTTTTAGTCTTTTCTAGTTTTAAATAAAATTTTATTTAAATATAGTATTAATGATTTCATAATTAAGATTATTAATAAAATATAGTTTATAATTTTACATTTATTTTAAATTATAATAAAAATGAAATATTATTTATATTAATATTGTATAATATCAATTTATATGAGAATTAGAAAAAAAAATAAAAAAAAAAATGGCTTCTTTAAAAAATGCAACGGGTGTTAGACATAATGTTTTTCGTTTAAATGCACATAAAAGTAATATGAAGAAAAAGAAAATATAAAAAAAATAAAATAAAAGGAATATATTTATTATAATAATAAATAAATAAAAATTTAAAGATTTTTCTTTTTTTTTAATTGTAATGATTTAAAAACTTTTTTTTTTTTTTTTTTTCGATAGAGATTATTTATAATCGTATGAGAAGATTCAATTGGCCACCTAAAGAATGTTCAACTATACATCCAGTAAAAAAAAAAAATTTACTTTTTATTTATTTATTACATAAGTTATGTATTACATTATTAATATGATTATTAATAGTAGTAATTATAATTAAATTTATAATGAGATGTTTTTATTTTTTTATTTTTTTTTAATTTTTTTTATCTTTCTAATATAATCTAGATAGAACCATATGGGAAACAGTTTTTTATCTTTAATGCTTTTAAAAGAGACACAAAATTTGATAATGAAATTTCAAACACAGTCACACCATTGGTTAACTTGTAATTTAATTTTTTTATATTTTTCCTTTTAGTTTTATTTTGATATTTTTTTTTTTTTTTTTTTAGATAAATTCTAATAACGAGAAAATTCCTTCTGAAACTGTTTTGTGTGTTTGCGATTTTGCAAAAAGACCATTAATGTTCTTAAACTACTTAGATTTTAAAATATTAGTAAAAAAAATAAAAAAAATATAAAATATAAAATACACAGAATACAATAAAAATTGAAAATAAAAACATTTATTTAAAAATTTAATATTACAGCAAGCTAATATGAACAAAATAAAAGAAGGATTTAGGAAAATTGAAGAAAAATTAGATAAGGTTTATTTTATTAAAAAATTTATAAAAAAAAAAAAATATATTTAATGTTATTATATATTAAAATTTTTAGATTAGTTTTACAAATATATTTTCTTTTCTTTTCTTTTCTTTTCTTTTCTTTTCTTTTTTTAGAGTAACTATTTAGATACAAAGTTTGGTTTAATGTTAAAATACAATTTAAATAAAACTTACGGTATGCAGAGAGTCAAAAAAGGAGAACATAACTCATGGGGAATGAAAAAAGGAGTATTTAGACAAAGAAAAACATAACTTTTTATTTATTTTATAAATATCAATTTTATTTTTTTTTAATTTTTTATTTGAAAAAAAAAAAAAAAAAATAAATAAATAAAGTAAATTTTTAATATATAACTTTTGTTTTTATGATAAATTTTCCATTTTGCCACATAAAAAAAAATATATATATATATATATGTATAATAATATAAAATTTAAAATATATTTTAATATAATTAAATATAATAATATTTAATAATATGAAGTGGAAAATTTTTTTTTTTTATGAATGTTTTTTTTTTTTTTTTTTTTTTTTTTTTTTGTCAATTGAGAATACATATTATAGGAAGGGTAATTATGAGTTTTAAAAAAATAAAAATAAACGAAAAAAATTTAGTTTTTAATGAAATGATATAAATATTTTATAAAAATTGTAAATTTAACTATTATAATAATTTACTGTATTGTTATATTATCATTCGTTTTTTCAAGGTAGTAAGTTAATCTGTTTAAATTGACATAATGATAGTAACCTATTAAATTGTTTAATTTAATTTTGCTTCTATAAGTTTTATTTTTTAAAGAATCATCATTTATACATAAATAATTCCTACCATCACATATAAAAAGATAATGAAAAGGTAATTTTTTTGTGCTATTTTGTAAGTTAGTGTTACTAATATCATCTTTTTTTTTAATTTTTTTGTGAACTTTTAAACTGAACTTTTGTATTAACATATTAATTAATGAAAGCGGATATAAACTTTGAAAAGCTTTAAGATTATCTTCAATAGAAATAAAAAATTTTAATAATATGATTGCCACTTTAATTTCATAAAATGAAGAAATATTATTTATTAATGCATTTAAAATTATTTTTAAACTATTTTTTTTTAAATATATTATATCATGTTTTAAATAAGTTATACTAAAATTATTATCATACAAAATGTTATCTTCTTTATTTTCCTTCAATTTATTATTTTTTGTATTTGAAGTAATTATTTGTTTATTAATATAAATGTTATTATTGATAAAGTTTTTTTCAATAGATATTAAATCATTTAACTTAATTGAACTTAAAAAATTACAATCATTAATGTTATTTAAAATGTTATTCATTGTTTTAAATTCTTTATAAAAAAAGGAAATTTCAGGTATATTTAATACTTTATTTTCATTTAAAGAATCTTCTTTTTTTTCATTTTTTAAGCAAATAATTCCTTTATTACATTTTTTATTTAATATAATTTCTTCTATTTTTGATAAATTATTATTACTACTATTATTATATTCATCTACTGAGTATTCTTGTTTTTCTTTTAATAATGAATTATTTGTATTTAAACTATCCTTTACACATTTATTTGATAAACTAGAGGTTTTTTTACCTGAAGAACTTACTTTATTTTTGTCTTTTAAATAAACATTTAATTCATTTATTTTTTTTTGTAAAATTACTTTTCTTTTTTTTTTCTTTTTTTCATTATTTTTTATGGATGTAGAACCATTGCCTAAAATAATTTTTTCTATAGTTTTTTGGTTTATCTTTTTTTTGTTTTTTACTTTTTTTATTATTTTTTTCGTATTCCTTTTTACCATGGAATTTATGAATTCATAAGGTTCTTTTGTTTGTTCTTGAAATTGAACTAAAAATTCATCAATATTAGAATTTCCTTTTTGTATTGGTGTAATGCAAATTTCACGTTTTTTAACTTCATTATTTCCTTTTTCTTCTTTTGTAATATTTTTATTTATATCTGAATTTGGTTGTTTTAGTTTTGATGGATGTAAAATATATTTAGAATCCTCAGTATTTACGAAACACTTTTTATAACTGATTTCTTCCTTACATTTATAACTATTTTTTACTGATTTAATTGAATTTATACTTAAATTTTTTATATTCTCATTTTTATTATTTGCACTTATATTTTCACAGATGATATTACTTTTGTTCATTTTAAGAGAACAACTTCGAAGAGTTTTCTTTTTATCAGTCTTTTTTTCAATTGAATTACTTTCAGTAGATATATTTTTTTTTAAAGTTGCATTTTTAATCTTTTTACTTACTTTTTCTTTTCCTTCAACTTTTTTTAACTTATTATTGATGCAATTTTCTTTTTTAGTCATATTGTATTTCAATTTTGTAACATTATCAATTCTTTTTTCTTCATAACCATGTTTTTTTCGTAATTCTGTAAATTTATTGTCTTTTTTTTCTAAAATATAATCACTTTTATATAATTTTTCACTTTTCGATAGGTCACTATATGTATTAGTATCCATTGAACTATAAAAATTTTTTTTCTTCATTTTATTGTAACATTTTATTAATTTATTTTTAAGATTGTCTTTTTCACTTAGTTTTTTTTCGCTACTCTCAGATATGACATCTTGGTATAATATATAGGTATCTTTTTTCTCCTCTCTATTTTTAAAACTATTATGTAAACTACTTTCGATATTATCATATTCATTTTCTTTATTTTTCTCTAATGACAATTTCTCATTTATAAAATCTATATTTTCTTCTATATTTAATGAATTAAAGTAATTGCATTTTTCTGTAGTAACATCATTCATATTCATGTTATTTTTATAATCACATAGATCCTCTTCTACATGAGTATAATTAATCATCCATAAAGCTTCTTCCTGTTCGTAAGATTCATGAGATATGTTATCATTTTTTATAATAATATTATTATTTTGATTGTTGATACTTTTAATGTTATTACTATTTATTTCAGCATTTGTGTTATTAATTAAAAGATTACAGTTTTTATTTTGTTGTAATTTATTTTTATATTTAAGAATTTCATCGATCATTTTATCTCTCGAATAAAATCTAAAATGTTTCTTTGAAAGATTTTTTAATTCATTATTACTACTATTTATAAAAATATCCTCACCTCTTCTCATGACATTTTCATGATTTATATAATGATTACTTTCATTAAAACAATTGTAATTATAATTAATGTTGTTATTTATATTCTCACTTTTTATATATGATTCATTATAAGTATCCAAATATTCATAGTTCAAATTAGGCATTCTTATTTGACTTAAACTCTTTGCACTTTTAATATTTTGTTCATTATTATTTTCAAATACATTCTGTGTATCCTCTTTTATTTTATTTTTTGTAAGACAAATTCTATTTCCATAATTCACTGAAAAACTATCACATCTTCTTAAATTTTTTTCATTTTTTAAGTTATGTAAATTAGAAATAAAACTATTTTTAACATATTCATTTTTATATTTCTCATTTAAATCATTATCATGTTTTTGATTTAATACTAGATCTAAATACTTAATATAATTATAATTTGCTACATTTTTATTTAATAATTTGGTATTATTTTGTAAATATGTACAATTTTTTAAGTATTCATTATTTTCTAATATTTTATCATTTGCGTTACCATTATACTTAAATGTATTATTATTATTATGATTAATGTTTTCTTTCATTTGGTTTTCTTTTCTTAAATTATTAAAAGATTTATGAAAATAAAAATCATTGGCATTCATATTTTTCTGGTTATCAAAATTAAAATTATCTATGTGATCTACTAACATATTATTATTACTGTAATTTTTCTTATTGTATATATATGAATTTTGAGATTTATTAGAATTTTCTTTTAGATTACTATAATGTTCATCAAATATGCAAGCTTTTTTTAATTCATTACATTCATAATTATTGATTACCTTAGTATTTGTTGAATTATTCTTATTTTTAAATTCAATATTATTTATATTATTTTTATTGATATAATTATTTTTAATATAACAATTTTTATTAGTATTATTTAAGAATATATCATTATATATTATTGTCGAATTGTTTTTTATTGGTGTTTTATAATAGTTCATATTTTCCATATTAATAAAATTGTAATTTTTACTTTCAGTATATTCCATTTGTTCTACATTTAGAATTTCTGAATTAAAATTCTTATTATTATAATATGCATTAGGAAAATAAACACTGTTAGTATTATTGCTTAAATAATTTATATTACCTATAGGAATATTCCTAATATGCTCATTCTGTATGTTTTTCTTTTCAACTATATTTTTATTAACTTCACTAAAATAATTTATACTTTTATCATCCGCACCTTTTCTATTATTATTTATAGAAATATTATTTTTTTCCTTTAAATTATCATTTGTTATATAAGGATTTAGATTATTGTGATTACATGAATTTATAAAATGTAATTCATTTAGTTTTTTATTATTGCTTTTAATACTTGTGTTATTTATATTTGGTATATCATATATATCATACATAGTTTTATATGTTTTTTGTAATTCATTGGTGTAATTTTTTTTTATTTTGAAAGGATCAATTTTTTTAACATCCTCTATGTTTGAATTATTTACTACTTCTTCTTTTGTTTGTATAAATAAATTATATAATGGATTAATTAAATACTTATTAATTATACTGCTTTTTTCTTCATTTAAATTTTTGTTCTTACTTATGTCATTTTCATTATTTTTTATTACCTTACTACTACCATTATTTATGTATTTTAAGTTTAAAAAATCATTATTTTTATTCTTTTTATCTTCATTTGAACAATTATTTTGATTAATGCTTTGAATGAAATGATCATTCACATTTTTATTATAATATTTATTAAGTGTGTTCAAATTTAAATTCATATTTTGATTCAACCTATTTCTACTTATAATTGTATTTATTCCTTGAATTTTATCACTACGAATGTTATTAATGTTATGCATATTTTTGTTAATATTGTTATTTATGTTTTTATGTAAATTTTTACTGAATGTATGGTTTATATTTTTATAAATATCTTTATTTTGATTAAAATTTTTATTTAAAAATATATTTTTATTTTTTAAGTTACATTCAGAATATGTTTTATCATTAGAATCAAATAAATCATTCATATAATTATCCTTATTAAAATATATTCCATTATTATTATACATCAATTTTAATATAATTTCTTTTTCATTAGTTCGTTTTTCATCATTTTTATTACACCTAAATAGAGTTTTTTCATCAAGATCATATCTTTCACTTAAATTATAAGTCAAATCATTATGTGTCTTTTCAACATTATTGTATTCGTGAATATCTTTTTTTTTATTAATAAAGTCAATTGCATTTATCTCTTTTTCATGATTAAATTCTTCATTTTTCTCAATTTCTTCTTTATTTATTTTTTCATTTAGGTTTAATTGTATATTTTCATTATTTTTATGCACTAAATAATTATTAATATTATTTAGGTTACTATTAATATTACATTTTATATTTCTTATCATTTTATCTTTATTACTTGTCAAGTGTTCCTCTTTAATTTTACATATTTCACTATTTTTATCATTCATAAAATGCAATTTATAATTTAAATTGACTTTTGTTTTATCAATTGAATTTACAGAACTTTCATTTTCATAAGGCATTATTATAAAATCATCTTCTCTTTTTAAATTTTTGCAATATTGGTTAAAATTTATTGAATTATTGTTAGAATTTGTAATACATTCCTCATTATTATTATTTTCTGTTATTTTTCTATATAAAAGATCATTACATATTTCAATGTTCTCATTTTTATCACGTAAATTTTTATTATTTGTTTCTTTATTGCTAATGTTATTTTTATCAAAAATGATATTTTCTTTTAACTTATTTGTTTTTTTTTCGTATTCCAGTGAATCTTCCTTTTTAAAATTATCTTTCAATGAGTAAGCTCCATTTGACATTATTTCTTTTTCTTCATTGTTAATAATTTCACTAGTATAATCCTTGTTATACATTAATTTGTTTTTTGATTTTTTTTTGAAATATATTTTTTTTTTTAACTTTTGTGCTTTTGATTTTATATTATTAAATTCATTTTTTATACTATAACTCTTGTTCTTATTTAAATTATTAGAATTATATGGAGTTGAATTATTATTTTCCTCTTTGTCTTCTAAATTATTTTCTTTTTCATTTTTATTAAAAAAATAAGTACTTTTATCATTAAATGTATGAAATGTGCTAGCAGTTTTTTTCATTTTGTAGTTTTTAAATTTTTGTATTATATTAATTTTTTTAAAAAAACTTTCTCTTTTCTTTTTTAAATTCATATTTTTAATTTGAAGTTCACTATAATCATTTATACATTCCTTATATTCATTTTTCATTATGTTTTCACATTTGTTAACTGCTTGTATTGATTTTCCATTGTTTTTGCTTTTGGCAACTTTTATATCTGTTTTTTCATTAATTTCGTTTTTTTCATTAATTTCATTTTTTTCATTAATTTCGTTTTTTTCATCTTTTTCAGTCCTTTGAAAATAAGATTCTTTATTACTAGCACTTACATAATTAGATGAATCTTTTTTTTTGTTGTTTTTTTTTAAAAATAAGAAAAATGAAATAGATTTTGAGCGTACTTTATTATGTGTATATTTTTCAGATTTTCCATGTGATTTTTTATCTAACATTTTCTTATTTTTCTTTATTTTTAACTTATAAATAAAAATCTTTATAATAATATATCACAATTGTATTTTAATGTAATTTAATCTTTATAAAAATAACATTACTATAAAAAAATATGTGTATTTTTCAAAATACACTAGTAAAAAAAAAAAAAAAAAAAAAGAAAAATATAACAAAAATGTACATAAATATATATTCATAAAAAATATAAAATTTTACTCATATTAAATAAAAAGAAATAGTCTTTATTATTTAATATGAATAATCCTAATAATCTTATTTATTACAAATATATTTTTTTTTAAGTATTTAGATTTAATCATTTCATAATATAATGAAAGTATGCAATTTTTCATTTTTTTTTTTTTTTTTTCTAGAATAAAATTGTATACTTATTAATTGAATTTTTTCTTTATACTTAATATTTTATATTATTTATTCTTTTTATTTTTATTTTATTTTGACTTTTTTTTTATTTTTCTTTTACTTTTTTTTTTTTTTTTTTTTATAGTTTAA